TAGAACGGATATAGTGAATGCGGGGTCCGGGGGTAGAGCGTATATAGTGAATGCGGGGTCCGGGGGAGAGCGGATATAGTGAATGCGGGGTCCGGGTAGATCGGATATAGTGAATGCGGGGGGTCCGGGGAGAGCGGATATAGTGAATGCAGGGTCCGGGGAGAGCGGATATAGTGAATGCAGTGTTCGGGTAGAGCGGATATAGTGAATGCAGTGTTCGGGTAGAGTGGATATAGTGAATGCGGGGTCCGGGGAGAGCGGATATAGTGAATGCGGGGTCCGGGGAGAGCGGATATAGTGAATGCGGGGTCCGGGGAGAGCGGATATATTGAATGCGGGGTCCGGGTAGAGCGGATATAATGAATGCGGGGTCCGGGTAGAGCGGATATAATGAATGCAGGGTCCGGGGAGAGCGGATATAATGAATGCAGGGTCCGGGTAGAGCGGATATAATGAATGCGGGGGTCCGTGGAGAGCGGATATAATGAATGCAGTGTTCGGGTAGAGCGGATATAGTGAATGCGGGGTCCGGGTAGAGCGGATATAATGAATGCGGGGGTCCGGGGAGAGCGGATATAGTGAATGCAGGGTCCGGGGAGAGCGGATATAATGAATGCAGGGTCCGGGGAGAGCGGATATAATGAATGCAGTGTTCGGGTAGAGCGGATATAGTGAATGCAGTGTTCGGGTAGAGCGGATATAGTGAATGCGGGGTCCGAGGGGGTGGGAGAACTGTTTAAAGTGTATATTTGAATACTTCTGAAAATGTTGCTCTATTAAAAAATGAATAAACAAAACTAGACTAAAATGATTCTGTGACGGAAGCGTAGGCAGGACAGAACGCGCAGAGAAGATGGGGAACACACACAAAGCTTTATTGAAAGAACAAAATGACAGACACTCAATGGGGAAATGGCAGGGAGGGTGATGTGTGTGAGCAAACTAGGGACGATTCCAGGCACGGGGGTGTTTTTCTCCGGCAGGTTGGCTTGTGCGGTCTTCCCCCTTTTGAACTGGGGTCTTCGGCAGCAGGCAAACAATCTTCCCCCTAGGCTTGGGGGGTCCCAGGCAGAGCCTGATCATGAGGGTCCCCACCTCAGCTGAGCTTCCTCTGTGACTGCACAGCGGATTGGTGTCTCGGTCAACAGTCGGGCAACCTACCCCTGGGCAGGGGTCTCGGGCAACAGGCAGGCAATCTCCCCCCTAGCCTTGGGATGTCCCAGGCAGAGCCTGGTCACGAGGGTCCCGCCTCAGCCGAGCTCCCTCCTTGACTGCACAGCGGATTGGAGACTCGGGCAACAGGTGGGCAACCTACCCCTGGACAGGGGTCTCGGGGACTCAACGGGACCCTAGCTGTGGAGTCTCGCCTAGCACAGCCCCCACCCAGCTTTCCAGGGACATCGGGGTCACGGGGACTCAATAGGACTCTAGCTGTGGAGTCTGGCCTAGCACAGCTTTTAGGGTCATCGGTGCGCACAACAGGGACCGTTGAGGACACGGGGAGGGGTGGTCAGTGCGCACAACAGCAGGGACAGTTCAGGACAGGGGGAAGGTCGGTGCACCTAACAGGAACAGTTCAGGACACGGGTGGTCGGTGCACACAGCAGGGACAGTTCAGGACACACGGGTGGTCGGTGCACACAGCAGGGACAGTTCAGGACACGGGTGGTCGGTGCACACAGCAGGGACAGTTCAGGACACGGGTGGTCGGTGCACACAGCAGGGACAGTTCAGGACATGGGGGTGGTTGGTGCGCCCAACAGGAACTGTTCAGGACACGGGTGGTTGGTGCACACAGCAGGGACAGTTCAGGACATGGGGGGTAGTTGGTGCGCCCAACAGGAACTGTTCAGGACACGGGTGGTTGGTGCACACAACAGGGACAGTTCAGGACACGGGTGGTCGGTGCACACAGCAGGGACAGTTCAGGATACGGGTGGTCGGTGCACACAGCAGGGACAGTTCAGGACACGGGTGATAGGTGCGCACAGCAGGGACAGTTCAGGACATGGGGGGGTTGGTGCACACTACAGGGACAGTTCAGGACACGGGGAGGTCGGTGCGCACAACAGGGACAGTTCAGGACACAGGTAGTCTATGCGCACACCACAGGAAGTTCATGGCTTCTAGGGACACTTACGGCAAGTGACTTGCAGACGCTCAGCAGCAAGCGGCTTCTAGGGAGGTGGGCGACTTGTGGACGCTCAGCAGCAGGCAGCTTCCAGGGACCCTCACAGCAGCCGACTCCTCCAGGGACCTAGCGATCAGCAGCAGGGGCCCTCACAGCAGCTGGCTCCTCCAGGGGCCCAGCGATCAGAAGGCAGGGGCCCTCACCATGGCCAGCTTCTCCAGGGGCCCAGCAATCAGAAGGCAGGGGCCCTCACAGCAGCTGGATTCTCCAGGGCCCAGTGACCAGCAGGCAGGGGCCCTCACAGTGGCCAGGAACAGCAGCGGAGTAGCATTGCCGCAGGTTCTGACCTTGGAAGAGGGGGCTCATGCAGAGCTGCGGAGACTCCCACCCTGGGACATTTAGCGGAGGGAGCAAGATGATTCCAGCAGTGTGTACAGGAACAAAGAGAGAGGGCTGCTTCCTGTGCCAGTCTTTTTAAAGCCATGTGGGACGCTGCTAGGTTGCCTCTGCAATGGCCTGCCCAGCACTGTTCATGGAAGCTACAAGGACAGAGGAATGTGCAAGAGGGGAGGGAGGGGTGGAGGGATATGGCTGAGTCACAGCAGGCAAAGGGGGGTGGGGGAAGCATGGGCACTCCATGACAGGATCATTTTAATTTAACAAATGCAATGAAACAAAATGTTATAATAAATGTGATTCTTGTGAGCTACTATGGTGTATTTTATATTGTCTTTTATAAATAAATAAATTATTATAACTATTTTAAATAAAGTTATACAATTAAATTGAATATGTGGTTCGCCTACACCTTACACACACCCATACCAATGTGTCTATGACAAATTAACAAACCAATATGTGTCGCGCTCCACTAACAATATACATAAAACAATAAGTGCAAAACCATATAATAAGTGTAAAATGCCATATTTTCTCGATATTTTGTTAACTTGTATTGGTGAGAAAAGTTCAAAATAGAAAGTCCTTCCAACTCTTGCATAAACTCAAAAATTGATTTAATAATCATATTACATAAAATTAGAAATAAAATATTGGAATACAGAATGTTTAGATAATGTCCAAAAAATGTAGTTATGTTCTAAAGATAAAAATTGTATGTAATTGTGTGTGTATAGTATGGTGTGAATTTGCAGGCTCCCTTAGCCTTGCTTCTAAAAAAGTGTGCCTAAAAAGTCTTTGTTCTGCTCTATAAGAAGCAGTTCAGCCCCCACCTTCTCCTAAAAGTGGTGTGGTTTTCCTTTCTGTATCTTGTAGTCCCACAACGATATTTGGCAACAGATGTATACACCCCGTTCTAAATTATTATACAAATTCTATTTAAGTGTCACAAAGATGAAATATTTTGTTTTTCAGTTTAACTCATGGATGGCATTGTGTGTCAGGGCTCTTTTGATCACTGAAAACAATCTCGGACACTTGTGATAATTAGATTGGCCGGTGAGCCCAATTTAAGGAAAAACTACTAAAGGACGGCGTTCCCCATTATTAAGCAGAGCGCCATTTTCCAGCAATATGGGGAAGAAAAAGGATCTCTCTGCTGCCGAAAAGAGTGAAATAGTTTGATGCCTTGGACGAGGGATGAAAACATTCGATATTTCACGAAAACTTCAACGTGATCATCGCACTATTAAGAGATGGGAACAGAGCTGGTTGGCCCCTTTAGAGCCCCCGAAGGTGTAAAGATGACCTCTGCAAAGTATGTGGAGTTTATGACTGACCACTCTCTTCCCTGGTACAGAAGGAAGAACTATGCTTTCCGTAAAAAAAAATCATCTTCATGCATGACAATGCGCCATCTCATGCTGCAAAGAATACCTCTGCATCAATGGCTGCTATGGGGATAAAAGGAGAGAAAGTCATGGTGTGGCCTCCATCCTCCCCTGACCTCAATCCTATGGAGAACCTTTGGAGCATCCTCAAGCAAAAGATCTATGAGGGTGGGAGGCAGTTTACATCCAAACAGCAGCTCTGGGAGGCGATTCTGACATCTTCTGACAAATTCAAGCAGAAACTGTCCAAAAACTCCCAAGTTCAATGGATGCGAGACTTGTGATCTGCTATCAGATAAGGGCTCCTATGTTACAATGTAACGTGACCGCTTCAAATGTTTACAAAGTTACAATGTTGGGAAAAGTTTGACTGAAATAGCTTTTGATTTCAGTAAATATGCTGCAAACACAACAAATGACAATTCTCAGTTCTTTACAACCTAGAAAGTGTTCTGAAACTTCCTGTGCGGAATAATTTGGAACAGTGCATTGTAAGTTTTTTATGTTTACAAAAAATTCTGTTATCAACTATTAAGAGTACAATTCAAATTTTATTGAACAAACCTCCTAATGATAACATGAGAATTATGCTGACTGTTATTTACATCAATTATTTAGGGAAATTAGAAAAATATCATTTGCATAATAATTTGGAACACGGTGTAGAACAAACCCTCAGTCTTCTCCCCTCCCCTAGGAGAGAGTCTGAAATCCAATCCTTGGAACCTCTAGACAAATCCACGGACATTCCATCAATCAGGGGGGATGGTAGGTTACAAATATACACTAGATTATATATACCGTATTTTTCGCTCCATAAGACGCACCTAAGTTTTAGAAAACAGGAAAAAAAATATTCTGAACCAATGGACTGCAGACATAGTACAGGAGATGACCAGAGACTGCGGACACAGTACAGGAGGTGACCAGAGACTGCGGACACAGTACAGGAGGTGACCAGAGACTGCGGACACAGTACAGGAGATGACCAGAGATTGCAGACATAGTACAGGAGATGACCAGAGACTGAGGACATAGTACAGGAGATGACCAGAGACTGAGGACATAGTACAGGAGATGACCAGAGACTGCGGACATAGTACAGGAGATGACCAGAGACTGCAGACACAGTACAGGAGATGACCAGAGACTGCAGACACAGTACAGGAGATGACCAGAGACTGCGGACATAGTACAGGAGATGACCAGAGACTGCGGACACAGTACAGGAGATGACCAGAGACTGCGGACACAGTACAGGAGATGACCAGAGACTGCAGACATAGTACAGGAGATGACCAGAGACTGCGGACATAGTACAGGAGATGACCAGAGACTGCAGACACAGTACAGGAGATGACCAGAGACTGCGGACATAGTACAGGAGATGACCAGAGACTGCAGACACAGTACAGGAGATGACCAGAGACTGCAGACATAGTACAGGAGATGACCAGAGACTGCAGACATGGTACAGGAGATGACCAGAGACTGCGGACACGGTACAGGAGAAGGCCAGAGACTGCGGACACGGTACAGGAGATGACCAGAGACTGCGGACACGGTACAGGAGATGACCAGAGACTGCGGACACGGTACAGGAGAAGGCCAGAGACTGCGGACACGGTACAGGAGACGGCCAGAGACTGCGGACACGGTACAGGAGACGACCAGAGACTGCGGACACGGTACAGGAGATGACCAGAGACTGCGGACACGGTACAGGAGACGGCCAGAGACTGCGGACACGGTACAGGAGAAGGCCAGAGACTGCGGACACGGTACAGGAGAAGGCCAGAGACTGCGGACACGGTACAGAAGAAGGCCAGAGACTGCGGACATAGTACAGGGGATGACCAGAGACTGCGGACACGGTACAGGAGATGACCAGAGACTGCAGACACGGTACAGGAGATGACCAGAGACTGCAGACACGGTACAGGAGATGACCAGAGACTGCGGACACGGTACAGGAGAAGGCCAGAGACTGCGGACACGGTACAGGAGACGGCCAGAGACTGCGGACACGGTACAGGAGACGACCAGAGACTGCGGACACGGTACAGGAGACGGCCAGAGACTGCGGACACGGTACAGGAGACGGCCAGAGACTGCGGACACGGTACAGGGGACGGCCAGAGACTGCGGACACGGTACAGGGGACGGCCAGAGACTGCGGACACGGTACAGGGGACGGCCAGAGACTGCGGACACGGTACAGGGGACGACCAGAGACTGCGGACACGGTACAGGAGATGGCCAGAGACTGCGGACATTGTACAGGAGATGAACAGAGACTGCGGACGCAGTACAGGAGATGACCAGAGACTGCGGACATAGTACAGGAGATGACCAGAGACTGCGGACGCAGTACAGGGGACGATCAGAGACTGCGGACACAGTACAGGGGACGATCAGAGACTGCGGACACAGTACAGGGGACGACCAGAGACTGCGGACACAGTACAGGGAAAATACCAGGGACATAGTACAAATGACCAGAGACTGCAGACAGTGCAGGGGATGACCAGAAACTGCGGACCTTTGGGGACGGAGGGGAGCGGGTACCTGAATTTGACAGGTACCCACTCTCACTTCCGCGGAGTTGTCCTTCCCTTTTCTTCCCGAGCCGGCTTCTGTGACAGCCGGTTTCCCACTGCGCATGCGCGAGAAGCGCTGCACTTTGTGAATGGCTCAGCGTCTTCTGGGACCTCTCATGTGTCCCAGAAGACGCCGGACCATTCAAAAAGCGCAGCGCTTCTCACGCATGCGCAGTGGGCACCCGGCTGTCACAGAAGCACAGCGCTGGACCGAGGAACAGGTAAGGAGAGAACAGCTTAGCGGCCGACCCGGTATTCTGACACAGTGGCAGTGGCGGAAATACAGGAGGACTGGCTGCTCCATATTCGTTCCATAAGACGCACTGACATTTTCCCACTTTTTTTTTGGGGGGGGGGAGTGCGTCTTATGGAGCGAAAAATACGGTAATCTCCCAAAAGTAATGTTAATATAAAAGTTTTATCATATATAAATATCGTAATCAAGAAATATTACAGTATACATCAGGGGGTGGACTGACCATTGGGGAACTCGGGCACTGCCCGAGGGCCCAGGGTCAATAGGGGGTCCCATGAGATGTCTCTGGTACCTTTCATAGGCTTTTTTGGGTGTGGATTGAGTGTGGGTGAGGACACAGGCCCCATGATCCCCTATTGCCTGGGGGCCCCATGAGTTGTCAGTCCGCCTGCGACAGACAGCATAACAAAGTGGTGCTAGCGTCTCTACTGGCATCTGGCTTCTTTTTTTTCTTCTACTCTGTGATATCTCTCCTTCTTTTCTATCTTTGTCTCTTTTTATTTCCCCCCACCTTTTTTTTCTCATTCTTTCCCTCTTCTCTTCCCTTTTCCTCCTTTATTTATTTTATTTTTTTCCCCACCCTAATCATGAGAAGTCCCTTGGCTGCTACTTTTCTTTGCTTATGTTCATTCAATGCCCTTGGCTTGAATGAACCTTCCAAAAGGTCTCAGATCCTGTATGAGTTTATCAAGTCCAAGGTTGAGGAAATCATTTTTCTGGAGATCCACATTTGTTTGGACCATATTCCTTTCCTGAAGAATAGGTACTATGCCAAATGGTTCCATAGTACTTATCCTCACTCGAAATCCATGGGGGTGGCAATTGCCTTTCATTAATCTATAAATTATACCATCCTGGATTCCTGTTTTGGACCCTGGGGGCCAATATCTGTTTTTGAAAATATCCTTACCAGCGAGACATACACCTTGACTAATATGTACATTCCTAATCAGGAACAAATAGCCCACACTATTCAATACCTCCATAAATTGATGGAATTTGCCAAAGGGGTTGTCCTCCTTGATGGAGACTAATTGTTTCCTTAACCCCATTGTAGATACTTCATCAGGTAAGAGCTCTATCTCATATTCCCAGGTTAATAGGCTGAAAAGAGTACTCATCCAATATAACCTGATAGATGTTTGGAGAATTATCCATCCTACCGATAGAGATTACTGCATTTATTCCACTATCTATGATTCTTACTCCCGCCTAGATTTGTTTCTTGTGAGCCATTTCACCCTAACATTCCACCCACAAAGTAGGATTGGTAACACATTGTGTTCAGACCATGTGTCATTGTATTTGTCCCTATCTTTACCTGACCTATCTGACCATGAATGGATGTGGAGACTCAATGACTATTTGTTGCAAGAAGAAGCATGCTCTATAAAAAAATACGGACTACTATCATCCATTTCCTCTCTGTCCATCAGTCGTACATCACCTCTGCCCCCATCTAATGGGAGGCCCAAAAATGTGTACTTTGAGGGGCTTCATTAAACATGGCTCTAGGCTAAAGAACGAACACCTTGCCCAAGGTAAAGAGCTTATTCTCCGTATCTCTGATCTTGAATGATCTCATAAACGATGCCCCCGACCACTCAAATGGTGTTATTGAATGCTCACCTTAGTCTTTTGCAACTTTTTGAGCAACAAACTCTATAAATCAAAGACAAACTCCATAAATTATTCTATGTTGAGGCTAACAAACCAGGTAGGATGCTGGCCAAGGCCCTCCATGCCAAGAATAGCCTTGCATCTATTTTCAAGCTTAAACGTCCTGATGGCCAGCTTGTCCATCATCTCAAAGATATTACTGGGCTACTCCGCTCACTTTATGACGCACTTTACAACCTGCCAGAATACACCCCTTTTCAATCCAAACTCAATGAGTACATTGCCGCCACTGCGCTCCCAACCATCCCTGCCTCTGTGGTACAAGAATTGGAGCAGCCTTTTTTAGAAGATGAATTGTGATTATCTCAATCTAATAAAAGCCCAGACCCGGACGGCTACACTTCTCATTTCTAAAAAATCTTTCAAGACTCTCTTCTCCCGCTTCTCACAAAAACTTTTAATGTGGTCTCCTCTATTACCTCTTTCCCACAACAAGCCCTCAAGGCCTATATCGCTGTCCTACCTAAGCCTGGAAAGGACCCGACTCTCTGTGGTAGCTTCTGTCCTATTTTGTTAACTAACGTTTGACATGCCCTTGTACTCTAAATTACTGACCAATCGCCTCATGCCCTTTATCCCTAATTTGATACACTTAGACCAAGTGGGAATTACCCCCCGAAAGGGAAGCCAGTGGTAATATTCTTAAAACAGTCATGCTAAATGGAATATGGCCAAAAATGCCACATTCCCACCTGTTTTATTTCAGGTGGATGCTGAAAAGGAGTTTTGATCTAGTCCATTGGAAGTGTCTTGAGGGTACCATTTGGCAAGCGGGCCTTGAACCCAATATGCTGAATAAAATTCTGGCATTATATAATGAACCAACAGCGAGGATATGGTCTAGTAACCTTTCGGATTCAATATGAATACGCAATGGTACCTGACAGGGATGCCCCCCTTGCCTTTACTATATACTTACTATGAAGCATCTTGCTTTTTTTTCCGACAGTAAATAAGGTCATCCACAATTTAATTTGGCAACATAAGAGACCCAGATTAGTCCCGCTACTCTGTCCTTACCTAAACATAAGGGAGGGGTTGCCCTACCCCACCTTTTGTCATACTTTTATGTGACTTCGCTTCTTCGGATAGTTGATTGGTATCATAGTAAATCCTCTAAGCTTTGGACTCTTCTAGAATATGACCTGATCTCCACCCTGATCTCACATCCTTACCATGGACAGATCTTACCCACAGGCCTCCTACTGACCATTTGCTTCTCGTAACCTCTAACACGTTACGAATCTGGGATAAGTATTTTACCAGAGGCCTACTCTCATCACAACTGAGCCCCTCGATCCCGCTCTTTGGAACACATCTCTTTCCCCCTCCGACTTTTACTGGCTCTAAATCCTTTTTTGGCAAAAATCAGATGCCCCGCTTCTATGCAATACGCTCCACAATGGAAATCAAATTCCACTTTCCCGAATACTTTCTTCATGTCATAGTCCTTCAGGGGCGTGGCTTGAACACACTCAATTGACACATTTTCTAGGTAGGCTTCAGAGTACAGATACTTTAACCAGACCATTTACAGAGTTTGAGTCAATGCTGTCCCAGTCCACAAGACCAGACCGCTCAGTTTCTTAGATTTACCACATCCTCTTAAGATCCTGTCATCCAGATCCATCACCATTCTTTTCTAAATGGGAATGGAACTGAATGCACTACCTGATGACGTGGAATGGGCCAAAACACTGCTTGTCTTTAAACTTCCTATATCATCCCATGCCCAAGAACATAAACTGCCGTGTTGTGTCTCTGCAGTACCGATGCCCTACTCTCCTACATAGAATAGACCCTACCATACCAGATACATGTTGGGGATGCTTACAGGCCCCTGGCACCATAACACATATTTAAGGCAGTTGCCCCATGTATTACTCCTTCTTGAGATAAAATACTGCAGTTATATGACAATCTAGTGGGGGACAAATTCCCAAATGAACCTCACACAGCTGTTCTTTCTATGTTGCCAGGCTCCTATAGACAAATCAAGAAAAACTTGATTTTGACATTTCCTTACAGCAGTCTGCTCAGTTATTCCTAGACATTGGTGGCAAACGTCTATGTCCTCATTGGCTGATTCGGCTTGTGAAATGAACAGGATCAAACATCTGTAAGGCATGATAGCTTGGGAGATGATAAGACTGACTCCCACAAATTGATGTGGATGGTCTGGTCCCATGTTAGGTTTTCCTCCAATGTTGAAACTAGAGATGAGCGAATCGAACCAGGCGAACCGGAATTCGATACGAATTTCAGGAAAAATTCGATTTTTCCCGATCAGCCGCAAAAGTGTCCCTGCAGAGAGCTCCGCTATTTCTGACATTTCTCTGACAGTTCCTTCACATTACAGCGGTTGAAACATTGTATCTATTAGTTTCCATTTAGGATACAGATGTTTTTATTCGGAAACAGATGTTTCAACCGCTGTACATAGGTGAAGGAGCTGTCAGAGAACTGTCAGAAATAGAGGAACTCTGCAGATACATACACTTTTTGCCGGTTTGGAATTCTTATTTTCATCCTATTTCTTCTTCTTCTTCTTCATCCTCATCCTCAGAAATAGCCTATTTCTGACAGTTCTGTGACATTCACTCCATACAGCGGTTTCAACCGCTGTATGGAGTGAATGTCACAGAACTGTCAGAAATAGCCTAAGAAATAGCGGAGCTCTGCAGATACACTTTTTGGCCGGCTTGGAATTCTCCTTCTTCTCATCCTTCTTCTTCTTCTCATCCTTCTCCTTCTTCTCATCCTTCTCCTTCTTCTCATCCTTCTCCTTCTTCTCATCCTTCTTCTTCTTCTCATCCTTCTCCTTCTTCTCATCCTTCTTCTTCTCATCCTTCTCCTTCTTCTCATCCTTCTTCTCATCCTTCTCCTTCTTCTCATCCTTCTTCTCATCCTTCTTCTCATCCTTCTCCTTCTTCTCCTCCTTCTCCATCTTCTCATCCTTCTCCTTCTTCTCATCCTTCTCCTTCTCCTTCTTCTCATCCTTCTCCTTCTCCTTCTTCTCATCCTTCTCCTTCTTCTCATCCTTCTCCTTCTTCTCATCCTTCTCCTTCTCCTTCTTCTCATCCTTCTTCTTCTCACCCTTCTCCTTCTTCTCATCCTTCTTCTCATCCTTCTCCTTCTTCTCATCCTTCTCCTTCTTCTCATCCTTCTTCTCATCCTTCTCCTTCTTCTCATCCTTCTTCTCTCATCCTTCTCCTTCTTCTCATCCTTCTTCTCATCCTTCTCCTTCTTCTCATCCTTCTTCTCATCCTTCTTCTCATCCTTCTCCTTCTTCTCATCCTTCTCCTTCTTCTCATCCTTCTCCTTCTTCTCATCCTTCTCCTTCTCCTTCTTCTCATCCTTCTCCTTCTTCTCATCCTTCTCCTTCTCCTTCTCCTTCTTCTCATCCTTCATCCTTCTCCATCTTCT